GTGGATCCCTCTCAGTATCTACACTGTAGTCCTTGTTACCCTGTCTAAGCAGCACTAGCTTTTTATTTCCAGCTGACTGACATTGTACTGCGTGCAGACCTGCATTTGAAGACACGTTCACGTTCCTCTGCTCTCTTTTGTGGTAGCTTTTATACCCTCTTTGAGTGCACTGGTGGCTTTGAAGTCCTATGGATTGCGCTGTTACAGGCCAAAAGATATTGCCTGGAGCAGTATGTGTAAAACTTTCCTAAAAAGTTACCTCTGCCTCTGTAACATAGAAGAAGCTTGTCTGTGTCCAGGCAGTAATCATAAGGATGACCAAATCTGCTCATGGTGTGTGGGCTTCTCCCTCATGCACTTTGAAGCAATTCCCCAGACAGATCTGCCAGCTGGGTGGCTTGCTCACAAATCTAAGCTTACTCACCTTCATGTCAGATGTGCACAGCTGTGAGCACTGCCACGTCTGGGCTGTATCCTCGGTATATAAGATTAGACTGTTTTCAGATGAGCTGTGGAAACAGCATAGCCATAGCATCATGTAGAAATCATCTGCTGGGGCAGGAGGAACCCACGCTGTGCTCTCTTTGTGTTATGAGGGGGTATGAGAAAATGTGCAGAGCCAAACCATGCTTTCCACTCTAGCCTGGAGCAAGAGAGGTGGTGTGAGCTAGCCCAGGGTGCACAGTGTGTTTCCTGCCTCCTGCTCTATTGTACCAAGTGAGGAAAAAAGCAAAGTCTGGGGGAAAGGTGTTCATACAAGCAACACAGGTCTCACCTGCCCTGGTATATATAACAGGACTTCCTGCAAGATCTTGTTAGCCTGGACATCTTGTATAATCTCACAACATTCCCCTCATCTTTGATCATGACGTTCCACTTAGCACTTATATTCTGGAGGGCCTGAAAGTGAAGAATAACTCAGTTGTGACTGGTATTTCAGGGGTGCATGGGGGTACTCAACATTGTGTTGAATGCTCCAACATATAGTGAGGAGCAAGAGAGGTTTGTTTAATGTTGCCAGGGAAGGAAGTCCTACCTCCTTTAGCTCCCTAGAGGGTTTACAGGGTAGGACCCAGGCTCTTCCCCTGCCATATGCAGCCAGGGATATATTTTGTCATTGGAAGTATAAAAATCCCTTCTCTCTCTGTCCTGCTCAGAGGCAGAGAATAACATACTCTTATTTACAATGAACAGTTGCACTGCATAGCTGTGAAGTGTGCTCTGAAGGGAACCCAAATATGACAGACGAAAGCGCTGCCAGTCAGGTCTGAGGGCGTTCAGTAGAGTGAGGGGGGGGGTGTTCTGCTGTGGTTGCCAGGACTCAATGGATGCTGACCCTTGCTGCTGACAGGATTATAGCCTTTTGTATCTGTGACCCATGACAGTGCTCCAGCATGTCACACCTTTGTTACTGGTGCCAGGATTGGAAACAAAGACTAGTTTCTTGTCAGCAGGGCTGAGTGACGCATCTTCATTACCCTGGTGCAGGAGGAAGCCTGCCTCTCTGTGTCCATCTGCACTAGGGAAATGGGTTGGTTACTCCTAGCGCAGACCTCCCTACTGTGATTCTCCGAAGCAGAACGGAGCATCCCATGCTAGTTACAGGACAGGAGCTCCTTTCAAAAGATTTCTATCTTTATGCTGTGAGCACTAGGACAGTTTGACCCACTGTTAGCTGCACAGACCACCAAAAAATTAGATACCTGAGATACGAGGCAATGGCCAAATTGGTTGGGTACATACGGGAAGAATGGCCTTCTCCATGGTGTATTTGATGCTTTGTATGCATCTTGTTGTATTGTGGGAATGTGCAGGGGTGGGGAACATGTTTTTTTTTCTTTGTTTCTCAAATGGCAGCTGAAGATATTGCAGTGACAGTGGTGGGAGGCTCAGTATTACTCAGTAATGGCCATGCACACCATATCAAATAAAGAGAAGAAAAATAATTTCAGGAAGCTCAGTAATAAAAAGCGACTTCATTTTGAAAAGCAAAAGATTATTCCTCCCAAAATACCCCAAATAATTTTTCCAGACAGGGAGCACAGCTCTGCTGTCGCAGCTGCTTTGGGAAGAAGGCACTTGGAGGACTGGAACAGCAATAATCCAAGTGGTCCCTTTGGCCACTGCTGCCTGCTGAGTCTTGAGGGCTTTGCAGTATCAAAATGCAAATTGTTCAGAGTGGCTGTACACAGCAACCAGACCTGCCTCCCATGGGATGATTTATAGTGTACTTTCTAGACCGCAGACTTACCTCAGCTTTATATTGTAAATTTTGTAGGAAAAATTGATAAACCCGTGAGAGCCACAGTCTCGACAGAGATTTCCAGGTAGTTCTAACATGTTTCTTCTGAGGGAATGACTGCAGGCTTAGGTCTCCAAGAATGCTCCGACAGCCCAGCACGTACAAGCACTTTGGCTCTTATCACAAGAAGTCCCACCCTTGCCCTGAGTTACCAAGCTCACGAGCTTAGCAATGAGTGCTTGCAGTGCCCTTACTTACCATGATAAGGTGTCAATATTAAAACTTTGCTTGGTTTGGGAGTTTAATTTCTACATATACTATTTTTTCTATGTCTTATATGTGCAGTCATAAACAAGGAGTTGGATTATTCAGCTCCCAAAAAGGTTTTAGGTCTGTGTTATGACACAGTCTCTGACTGTTAAAGCAGAGGGGATAGGAAGATGCTGTGGAGAAAGTGACCCTAGTGATGAGGGCAAGGACTACCATGATAATTCCCTAAATTCCTACTATCATGGATTTAGGCATATTATAACTGTGTATTTACATCAGGCATTTATAGGTGGCTCCTAGTCATATGATGTAAAGAGGCATCCACTAGAAATTTAGCTCTGCATTCTTCATAGCTCAGGTTTCCAGTAATACCTCCAGGAAAACTATGGTATCTGTGCCAGTTCATTGGTTTTGAAGTTTCAAGTCATGGAATTCAAGTGAAATTTGCTCAGCAAGAAGGATGCAAACTTTTCATGACATCATTTCCCAAAGCAAAATTGGTCTTTTTGCAGAATTTTAATGGAAATGTGACTTAAAACACAAAGTTTGGGATGCTTTGACAAGGGAGCATCAAACTTGTGGTAAGTCTCTCAAAAAACCCAGTTGCTTTCAGCTTTAGATACTGTATACTTATACGGTATTCCCTGCTGCAGTGGACACTGAGATTGCAGGGGTCGATGGCTATGCTGGAACAAGCACCTGAGGGTACTTCTAACATTCAGGTTTTGTGCTCTGTCAGCATCCCTTAATCCTGTTCACTCCTTAGCTTGGATTCTTCCATGTTTTATGTTCTGAAAACCTAGGGGATAATAAGATTCATTAGAGATTTGTCATTTCTTCCTAAATAATGTCACTACCTCTTTTTATTTGGTCATTGATACATAGGTTAATAATTTCTATAGTTAATGGAATGACTGAGGACAAGGATTTTGTTCTCCCTTGTCTAGTAAATTCTGCAAAACAAAGTTACATATATGCTGTATGTATTAGCTTTAATATTTAAAACCAGCACAGCCACATCATGGGAGACATCCAGCATTAAATGAAGTTTCCAGAGGGTTGTTAAAGAAAAAAAAAGGTGCCTTACAAAACCAAACACTACTTTTTCCTTTAAGTTGTGAAGTTTAAAATGACACTAGAATAACTATGATTGCTTGCTGTAAATCCGCATAGATTTGGCTTACTTAATTTTTTTTTCATGTTATAAAGATTAGTTTACTGTCTGTGGACTGAATCCTTCTTGCATTACACATGTGACTAAATCCGTGGGGCCCAGTGACCAGAAAAAAAGACCCAGAAAGGCATTAAAATAGTTTAGCCCGTTCAGCTGCAAAGTCATCTTACACATATTTTCCCCCTAACTGGTTTTGTGTATGTTATTGTCAAATATGAATCTGTAGAATATCTCCTGGTCTGGAAGCCTGTCCCCTCAGAGCAGACAGCAGTTCTCCTTCAGCCTTGCTTAGTGGCTGGTACATGCAAGCGTAATGTCTATGTACTGTGTTGTTTTCCTAAGCAATAATTTTCATCTTTATTTTCACACTTTTAAAATTATTTTATGTAGCTCACTTGTTTCCAGCATCAGTCTGCATCTGTTCTTTCATTTTTTTAAGCTGCCTGCATACTTTGGAAAGTCATCAATAGAGTGCAATCACTTAAGCAAAGATAAAAATTAATTGAAGCTTTATGATATTGAAAGAATGAAAAGTATTGGTCATAATATGTAGATGTAGGGCTATCCTCATAGTAAATGCACCAGTTTTAATGTCTAGATATAGCTGTATATCTATAAACTAAACCTGTTTATCCAACTAGCAAGTCCGACTTGCTGAGGATCATCGTCAAAATTTTGAATCCCTTTAAAAGTTATTTTTCAGAACACAGATATTCTGTATGTAACTTCTGTTGTACTATTTGAGATGGAACTGGGCTGTGAAGCCTGCCAACTCATCTTTCATGTGCCTTTCCTACTGGTGTGTGTCTCTTTCTGCAGAATCAAGCTTGCACAGTGGAGTGTTTGTGTTCCCTTTTACATGTGGTCCTCGTTAAAAAAATACAATGAAGTTTAGCTGTGGTGAAATTATTTATTTGACTTTTTTTTAACTGGTGCAAAAAGTAAATATGTTTACTGTGTCCCTTTCCATTCAGTGTATTTCCTTTTTTAAGCTCCGTTTGTGTTCAACAAGACAGCCTCTTTCTCCAAGATTAACATTTCTTATGATTGTTCCTGACAGAGGATTTACTTTCAGAGGCCCTGCTAAGGATAACCAAAAAAGGGCATGTAGCAAGACAGTTTTGGCAGCTTGCATGAATTTTCGGAGCTTTTTAGGTCTTGGTTTTCTGATGAGTGGCTTCCTGAGCATGCCTAGGGAATGACAGGCATCTCTGCAGGCAGGCTGAACCCACCTTGGCTTGTGCGTAGTCATTGGCTGCCTATTAGAATAAATTGAGGACAATGCATACTGCTGCCTGCCAATTGTAAACATAAGGGATATGTATTCACTTAGCATTGACTTTTGGGAGGGGCCAAGGAAAAGCTGTAGTTTTATTGAATAGGGCTGTGTGTGAGGCTGCTGGTGTGCCTTTCTTGCTGTGCTCCTGCCTAAGCAGCCAGTTATTCATTTCCTTCCTACTAGTTGAAAACTTTTCAGCCGCAGAGGTAAGGGCTTAAGATATGTATTTGTTTGGGAGCGAGCTGCTGTGACCGCGTTTGCGTTATGGCTAGCGATTAAGCAGCATGCAAAATCTAACAAGCTGTGGAAATAATGCGAAAGCGTCGGATACTATTTTTCCTCCCCTCCTTTTCCCCCCCCCCCCCCTTCCCAGATGTTTGCAGTGAACTAAGGGAGATATCTGTGCCGGGCGGCTGGAGGGGGGTGCATGCTCGACCACCCCAGTGGACCCTAATGCGGAGGTGCGGGGCAAGGCTCTGGGTGCAGGGCAGGATCTGTGCTGGTCCCATTTTGTGTGAGATCCTGCAGCAGGCTTGTTAGTAGAGCAAGAACCTATCTAACCTATCTGTCCTTTTTTTTTTTTTTTTTTAAGAAAAAAAAAGAATTGCAATGAAAAAGTTTTTAGTATGGTAATGGCTGGGGAATTGCTTTTTATTTGGCAACTTAATACCTGGGCTTTCAGGGCAGCCTAACTGTAAAGGCAGTCTCCTGGCGTAACTGATACAGATACGGTAAAGCTCTGGTTAATGTAACTGATCTGATACTTGCAGATGTCTGTCATGGCAGCCTTTCATAGAAGTATTGTTGACAATAGACAGTATCCGTTTTTGTCTTCAGCCTTCAATGTGCACAGCAGCATATTGCCAGAATGTTTCTTGTGAAGTTGTCTTTCCTGTTAAAAGGGGGAGAAAAAAACCAATGTGCTTGGGGTGGGACTGGAGCTCTTGAAAGTCTGGGTCTGTGCGCGTGTGTCAGTCGGAGCGCTGCTGGGGAGAGCCCGCGAGCAGACTCTCCTTCCCAGCTCCTTTGACGTGCTCGGACAGTTTGAAAGTGTTGTGCAAGGCTGGCTGCTGATAGCGTGATATTCTGCATAGTAGGGAGTTTCTCAGAGAAAGAGCTGGGAAAATGAAGGGAGGGATGAAGTTAGCTGCAGATGGATGCTCGGGAGCAGCAGGCATTGACCAAACTACTAACCTCTGGCCAGACCTGCAGCGATAGAATTGATCTTTCTCATATATCATATACTGTTTGAAACAATGGGCAAGATAACTGTTTCAAAATGACTTTCTGTGGAGTATTTGTTTTCAGAGGAACATTTATTTTCAGAGTATGCAATTTTTATGCGATTTTGCCTAGCTGAGAAGGCTTCTCTTGCTAAAAGGCATACAGGAGAATAATTTGTGAAAATAACACATTCCCTTCTTGGCAGCAGCTCAAAGAAAATAAGGAGGCAGAGTGTTTCTTTTGTGAGAACTGTGTATTTCTTATAATTTGTCTATTTTACATACCATACTGTGAGTGATTGTGCTTGTATGATTTGCCATCAAAGAACCCTGGGACCCTGCTTCCATTCTTTCTCAGTCTCATTAAATGTAGCAGTAGGTTTTGGGTGAGCGTATGCATCTGCAGAAAAGTTTCCTAACTTCTTCTCCTGTGATTGAGAGAGAATGGGATCCTAAACCTACGTACACCAAAACCAATGAAATGGACTATTTTAACAGAAATTACAAATGGAGCGATGCTTCGAGGAAGTGGTCCATTTGCTTAATAAAATTGCCTTTAAGGCAAAGTTGGGCTGAACTTTTCTCAATATATTTGAAGAAAGTATAGGTCTGCCTTTCTTTGGGAGACTTTTTTGATAGGCAAGTATTTTAGTCAATAAACTTGCACACATTAATGTAATGTTTAAATCACAATGGCGGGGGAGAAACAACGGATAAAATGCCTGTGAACAAGAGACTAAACAGAAATAATTTGTATTTTCTGAAAACTCCTCTTTGTTGCAGCATGCAACAAGACGATCAATTCCACAGCCTTCATTCACAGGATTAGGCTTGGTGAAATCAATATCATCATTAATGGATGCAGGATCTGATACAAGGGGAGTCCTGTGTACCCTGAATACACTTTGACAGTGAGTGATGTAAGCATGTATTAGGAGAATAAGGGATTTTCCACAATTGCTACTTCATACACTCTCAGCATTATTCTGACAAAGAGCAGCCTGAGAAAGGGATAACTTCCCTTGTCCTTTTACTTCTTGTCCGACACTGATACACAATGCAATAGTGACACTGAAAGCTAGGTGATTTGAAAGGAAAGGGGAGCTGTAAGTTTCTCTGTCTGGCATTAGAGGGAAAATTAAAGTGCATTAAGATGGGAAGATTTCTTATTGCTCAGTCTCATGCATGGAGGCACGCCGCTCAGCATCCATCTGGACTCGTACAGGGTTAGGGTGCAGTGCTACTTATTCCGGGTGGTGAGACCAGAAAGATAGGGCAAGGTTTTTCTGTTGGCTGCCTGCTGGGAGGTAGCTTCTGTCATATGAACAGAAAGATGCCAGGCTCTATCAAGAGCCTGGCTAAAAGTCTTCCTTGTTTCACCCTTCCCTGCATGTAGCTGGAGTGGCTGTGCGAATGGGGGTGATCTTTTCATTGCAGAAAAGTGAGAGCCTGCAGGATTTCCTTCCTGCAGGACAAATAGGATTTAAATGCCCTGGTACTGTTTTAAAATACTCTGATTTCTCAGTAGTTGCTTACACAAGACCTATTCTGTTGGCTGCCTGAGTTTCAATTCGTATGATCGATCAGCGGAGTTTTTAACCCCGTCTGCCAAGGTTACAACTTGGTACATTTGATCACTGTGTGTGAACAAAGAGGGACAAGAAACCATATATGCCTAAGAAAGAGAGGGCCAAGAGAACAGCATTAGCTGTCCATCTGCAGTGCTTGTCTGGACTCTCCTGGGTATCGGAGAAAGCACCAAAAAAGGTAACAGGGCAGAATGGGAAGCACGATCCTGTGAACCTTTCATTGCCTTTGAGAGGAGCTTTGTGGGGAGTTTGCAGGATTGGGCTCCAGGTGTACAAAGCCTGAGGCAGAGAGGCCTGTGACTGCAGAGAGTGGGAGTCTATCTTCAAAGCAAGTTTTCATTCTTTAAAAATTGTCTCTCCTCAGTAACTACCCCCTGGCAGCTCGTAACAAGAAAGCTGCTTCCTTACTAGAGCTCTCACCTTCAGAAATGCGCGTACGCAGGGGCCAGTTTGGTGGTTTTGCTCATAGTTCCTGGGTGGTTTAAAGCCATGACCTGGTGAGAATGGATTTTTGCAGGCAACTGTACTGGAAGCAAGTCACCTACCTATGTGTTGGCACTTACTCTTTGGGTACTGGCGCTTGCTGGGAAGCTGTAGCTGTTGCATGCCTCCAAATGGTTTGTTGAGCATTTGGCTAAGGCTGAAATTTGACTCAGAGGCATTTGAAGAAGAGATTAGATCTGACCTTTCTGGATGAAACACTGAGGTCACAGGACAGTTGAACTATGAAACAATTTCTTTTTGCCTTTCCTGATGCTTTTGTACAGTTCAGCTAGCCCAGTGGGGATGGATGTTCAGTACCTTGTAATTTGGGATCCCTCCCACCCCCTGGGGAGTCCTACTTTTCTTGAAACGGATTTGATTACCAAAAAGGTTAGGGCATGTAACACCGTTACTTAGCTGCTAGCCCTCGTATGTTAGCTGTATGGTTTACATCCTGCGTAAGAAAGTGCTTCTTCTCATGTGGTTTTTCTTTGGAACTTGCTCAGTGCTGATAAATGGTGTGGGGCTAGCAGCCTGGCTGCCAAGCAGATAACCAGCGTTAGCAGCATGGTCCCTACCCTGTCCCTCTCCCTGAGCATCATTAGTTGCCCCTGCGAGGAATGCAGCCTTCTGGACCTTCTCACTTGCTAACCGCCTGGTTTGTGTTGCAGCAACTGCTGTGCATCCAGCCACAGCAGTGCCCAGGCTTGCTGGCCTCCCGGCGGCGAGGCGGGTGGGCTCTGAGTGGGGGCACCCACCTCTTCCACCTATAGTCAGGACCCACCGCTGCTAACTGATGCCTCTTTCCTCCTCCTTGCCCCTTGCATCTGCCTCCTAGGAGGGGAAAACTGTCCATGAAGCATAGGGGCACCGGAAGACCCTGCCTATAGCAGTGTTTATGGGACTTTGGGTCAAAGCCAGGAAGAAGTGCTTGTGGGGACTGACCCGCTGGCTTGCAGCAGGGGCAGGAAGAGAGAAAGGAAAAAAGACGGCCATACCTTAAGTCACTGGAGTAATTTCTCTGCATTTTTTTCTGTGGTCATAAATACCTGCTGAGTCACTTAATGGCTGCGTGTCTGTTTCTGTATCTTGAAGTAAAGGATAATCCATGCCTTTTTGTATTTAGCCCGTGGGGCTGCCGGGGCTTAATTCATTAGCGTTTATAAAGAATTTATAATACCAAAATGCCAAGTTTAAGCACGGGCTAAAACCTTATTTTTGACTGATTTCCCAGCAAGAACACATACTTTTTTGTTTGTTCACACAGATACGTATTCTAGAACTAGAAAGTAACTTCTAGATTGTGGGTATAAAACCGCTGAAGCCCAGTGAACACGGTGGAAGATAGGCCAGGCTCGGTAGTGACACTGTGCTGACATGTCTGGAGGGAATTTCTTGGGTGCTTGCAGGTTTTACTGTGTTTGCTGCATCGGAGACAGAGGCCTCATGTAAAGTTGTTGCACGTGTACCAAAAATGCGGGATAACAGCTTTTACTTGCAGACCCGCCATAGTGTCGTAAGTTTGGAAGAGAAACTACTAAGCAAGCTGCCGAACCTTATCTGCTTGTCCAGTTTGGTGTTGATGAGAGCATTTGAAATTGTAACTCCTGGGGCCAGGCCAGGCTGCAGTGGGGAAAATATTAGGGAAAGTTTTTAAGATTTCAGGCAATGGAAACAACATTACATGTTTCCACACCCTCTTGTGTACAGAATACAAATAAAGAGCATTTCCCTTGACGCTTGCAGCGGAGAGTGTGAAGCAAAGTGGAACCCACCCGTTTGCACATTTTCTAGTTTATGTCCTTAAATGGCAAAAAAAAATCTTTGGAATTTAGCTCATAGAAGGGTTATAAATAGATTTGTGGAGATAGTTTTGCTGTAAATGCTCTGGTTTTGGATCTATTCAGAAGA